TTTAAGATTTATTATGCATACAATAACTGGGGTGCAGGCTAGAGGTGCGGGGATGAGAGGACTCACCAGAGACAGAGTGGGGAGCAGAGCAGGTGGATCTCCTGAAATCCACTGTTGAGGGGAGCAGCAGAGAGACAGGAGAGGTCTGCTGCGTCATGTTGGTAGCTCCCTGGCCAGGGATTGAATTCAGGTCACAGTGGTTATAGCGCTGAGAATAACCCCTAAGCACCAGGGAGGCCCTTATATGAATTTTAAGTTCTTCATTCTGTCTTAGCTCTCTTTTGCCTGCTTTGCTGATTGCAGGGCTTCTTAAAATCTAGTGGTAAATTGGCTGCCTCATGTACAAAATGTAATCCTGGAAAGCCAAGGTTATTTGCAGAGCATTGCTGCTCTGAATTCATTCCTCTGGGACCAGCGGGTCTTTCTGTGTGGTGGTTAGTTACCATCGTCATCTGTGGTGGCGAAGAGCTTGACTCTGGAATTAGCTCAGCTTTTTTCCAAATTCCAGCTCCTCTTTCTTGCTGTTTGGGGAAATTAACTTTCTATTCTAAGTTTTGGTTTTATTATCTGAGAAGGGAATTAGGGATACTAATAATAGTATCCACTGCATAGTGTTGTTAGAATGAAGTGAAAATACACGTGGATGGCCTAGGTTGTGAGGGCTTAATAAACAAGCTGCTGCTCTTGCTAGAAGAAAACCACATTTATAGTCTGAAGAAGAAAGAACTTCTGTCCACTAATTCTAGACATAGGTGCCTGAGCTATTTTTTTTTTAAAGATTTATTTATTTATGCATACAAGAGCTGGGGCACAGGCCAGGGATGCGGGGGGTGAGAGGATTCACCGGAGACAGAGTGGGGAGCAGAACAGGCAGATTAACCATAAAGTATACTGCTGAGGGGAGCAGCGGGAGAGACAGGAGCGGTCTGCTGTGCCATGTCGGATGCTCCTTGGCTGGGGACCGAACCCGTGCTGCAGAGGCTGCAGACAGCTTCACAGTGCTGCACTCAACCCCTTGCGCCACCTGGGAGGCCCCAGTGCCTGAGCTATTTCTATGAGCCTTTTAAACTGAAAGAGACATGCTCTTAACCAGTACCACATGTCTGCTGGAGCCTGCAGAGAACAGCCACCTGTGAGAAAGGACAGGCATATCCCCTGTGTGATTGCTACCAGGTGCAGGTAGGGGACGCCCCACAGAGGCCACTTCTCAGGCTCTCCTGAGTGCTGCCAGCTTGGAGAGCAGCACCGAAAACCCACGCTGAGGCGCCAGACCCCAACACCGATGCGGGCTGTGTGACCGCCAGAGAGGACCTGTCACCAAGTATCTAGGAGTTAACGCAACAGTTAAAAGGGAAACTCATCTGAAAGGCAGGAAAGAAGCCCTGAGTAGGTGGAGAAATAGCCTAGTCCCCGAGCTTTCCAGGCTGAGTCTCGTCAGGGCCTCTCGCAGTCCCGTGAGGAGCGGAGCACCAGGAGCAGGGAGGAAGCGCCTGAAGAAGAGTCTAGAGACTTTGGGGAAAGGCCTGCTGGGAGGCGGCGTGGTGCTGGTGGAGGGGAGCGCACTGCATGCACAGGAGCGCCCGACCCACGGGCTGAGTGCTCTGCCATGGAGGGCAGCGCATCGGAACACGGAGCCCAAGTCAGGCCAGGACAGTTGGTTTTCCACATAAAAAAACAAGATCAGATGCCTTTTCACAACCCCATTGTGCTAATTCTACAAAGCATTGGAGCAACTCGTGTTCACTGACAGCAAATAAAACATGGCTTTGCACAATGGAGTGATATAATGTGATTTGTAAGTGGATCGAAGACTTGAGTGTTTTATGAGGTTTCACAAGGTGGACTATGGGGGCAAAACCCCCAGAACTCAGTGGCTTCAACACCAGATATTTCCTCCTGAGTCCCCTCACGCATCGGTACTGTGAGTTGGTGCCAGGGCTGGGTTCCAGGTGTCTCCCCGTGCTGGGGAGGCCACCCCATTTGGGACATGCTGTTCCTATGATACCAGGAGAAGCAGCCAGGCCAGTCCACACAACCACTTTTATTTTTATTTATTTATTTTAAGGATTTATTTATTTTTTATACAAGAGCTGGGGTACAGGTCAGAGGTGGGGGAGGGTGAGAGGATTCACCAGAGAAAGAGCGGGGAGCAGAACAGGCAGACGACAGAAATACGTTGCTGAGGGGAGCAGTGGGCGAAGCAGAAGAGGTCTGCTGTGCCATGTGGGATTCTTGCCGGTCAGCCAGTATCGAACCCACACTGCAGAGGCTGCGGACAGCTTCACAGCGTGGCGCTCAACCCGCTGTGCCAACGGGGAGACCCCATACCACCACTTTTAAAGCCCTTTTTGGCCATACTGTGTGTTATGTCTATCCAGTTCATTGGTCAGCCACCCCAGGAGGCACTGCCAGTCCATTCCAGGGGGACAGCTGGGACTTGCTGTGGAAAGAATGTATAAGGGAACGGGCAGTGGGGGAGGGCAACTCAGTCCCCTGCAGTGTGAGGAGAGAAACTGGACTGTTTTTAGAAGAAAATACGTCTGCAGCCAGTATATTTGGTAGGACACAGACTACCTTCTGCATTCTAACAAGTTCCCAGGGGCGCTGCCGGCCCAGGGACCACATTCTGAGTAGCAGAGTCTTAAGATAAAAATTGTCAGGAGGGCCTCCCTGGTGGCGCAGGTGGTTGAGACGCAACCTGTGAAGCTGTCGGCAGCCACTGCAGCACGAGTTCTATCCCCGGCCAGGGAGCTACCCACATGGCGCAGCAGACCTCTCCTGTCTCCCCGCTGCTCCCCTCAGCAGTGTGTTTCATCAGTCTGCCTGTTCTGTTCCCCACTCTGTCTCTGGTGAATCCTCTCACCCACCGCGCCTCTGGCCTGTACCCCAGTTCTTGTGTGCATAAATAATAAAACTCTTTTAAAAAATTGTCAACAGTAAAAAAGCAAGATTGATAAATTCAGCATAACCTCTACAGTTAGAGGTTTTGTATACCAGAGGGTAACATGAGGGAAATAAAATTATGAGCCTCATGTTAGGAAATGCCCTTGTCAGACACAAAGAACTCCCGCGAGTAAACAGTCCAAAGAGTAAACCTTACACAAGTAGCTGAGAGAAGAGGAGGTATTTGGCCAGTGTACACATGAAAAGGTGGTCATCGTTAATGATAAGAGAAATGCAACTTAAGATCCAGTGAGGCGTTGTTTTACATTCAGCGCATGGAGAAGAGGGAGCGGCTCTCGGAGCTCTGCGGGCGAGAAGTGCGGATGAAGGCGTGAGGGACCTGCTCTGTGGTTGGAGGTTACGCTGGTAACATTTGGGGATGTCATTTTCATTATTTTGCAAAGTTCACTGTGTGTGTCCCGGAACTCGCGGTCCCCCTGCGGGCTGTGCTCGCGAGCGCGATCCGGCAGCCATCGGCAAGGCTGCTCATGACTGCAGGGTTTATAATGACAAAGCACTGGAACAAGTCATGTTCCCTGACAGCAAATAAAACATGGCTTTGCACAATGGCATGATATAAACAGTACAAATGAGTGAACTTCCGCAGGCAGCACGGGTAAATTTTGGAACCAACACTGACTGAAGAAAAGACACCCCCACAGATTATGTACATGACATACACTGCCCGTTTCACAGAGTTCCAGAATAAGTACAGCCAAACAATATATTAAGCATCTATGCATTTTGGACAAGCTTTAGTTTTTAAAAAATGCAAAGAAATGAGAATTGAGGTTAGTAGCTACTGCTGGGAGGGCCAGGGAGCGGGGTGGGCAGGGAGCGGGCGAGCACATGGGTTGTCAGTTCTGGGTTGGCTGGTGAGCTCACAGGAATTTATTGCCTTTTTATGTTTTATGACTAAAAAATGTTGCACACAGATGTTTCAGCGTAGTAAAAGTGCACATTAGCACCACTGTGGCGCTGGCAGGCTCTGGCCTAAAAGGTGGAAGAAAGAGTGAGGGCAACTATCCTAAGCGCCTTCAGTGAGCGTTCTCCAGTGAACAAGCAGTGTGACATGCAGGTGCCTCGGTTGTAGGAACTCACATGGTTATGGGGCTGAGCGATGAGGACCCAGGGCGCTGATGTGATGGGTCCAGCCTGAGTCTGAGCGCGTAGCTGGAGCATGGACGGCCTGAGTCCCAGATAGAAGGCAGGAGAAGACCAAGATCCCAGCGCAAAGACAGAACTTTTCACCAGTCAGTCTTTATTCTGTTGAGGCCCTCCATGGTCAGGATGAAGTCCACCCTGACACCTTCACAGATGCACCCAGAATATCTCCGTGCCCCAGCCTGTCGAGTTGACCCACAAAAGGCGTGAGGACAGTCACCATCTCCCCTCCTGAGCCCTGCCCCCAGGGGCTCTCATGGGAAAGAGCTCAGATTCTTGTCTCAGCACTGTGAAGCTGTCCCCAGCCACCGTAGCATGAGTTCGATCCCCGGCCAGGGAGCTGACCCACAGGGCACAGCAGACCTCTCCTGTCTCCCCGCTGCTCCCCTCAGCAGTGGATTTCAGTCAGTCTGCCTGTTCTGCTCCCCACTCTGTCTCTGGGGAATCCTCACACCTCTGGCCTGCACCCCAGTTCTTGTATGCATAAATAAATAAAATTAATCTTTAAAACAACAAAAAAAGAATACTACATTCACGACAAGAATTCATTTCGGTGTCACTGGAGAATATACAAAGAAGTCTTACTTCCTAGGACTGACACACTTCTCGTGGGGAAGTCTGCGCATCTGGTCCATTTCTGCGTAGATTTTCAGCTACCTAGGGTGAGCAGTTTTACCATTTAGAAACCATTTAAAGTCGAAAAGACAAGAACTTCTATAATGAACATGTTATTGTCAGGCCTTTAGTATGGTTATTTATACAGCCCAACTTTTAGGATGATTTGGGTTAATTTTGCATGGGAGGAAGTTGACAAAAATTAAATACAAAGACCTTTGAGTATGTGCAGTGATGCTTTTTCTTTGAAACTCTCTTAGAGAATTTAACCAAACGAAAGTGGAATTTAACTTCACACTGACTAACTACCACATCGGAGTGAGTGTGAAGATGGGCAGACAGTTTGCAGTTTGGGCATTTGCCGGCTGTGTCTCGGACTGGCCCGCTCTTGTCACAGGCCTCCGCTTTTCTGGCCACGTGGTGATAGCACCTGAGGTGAGTTTTAATTAAGTGCAGTCCTGAGCCGACACACCTGGAAGTCCTCTGCTCAGTTCAGAACTAGGATAGTGGGTTTCTAGTTTGGTCAGATGCGCGCCCCGCCCCCAGAGGCTCGCTGCTTAGCGAGCAGCAGCCGAGTGAGGACCCGGTCTTCGCTGCCTGTTTGGGGTTCCCGGTACAGAGGACGGCACTTCAGTTTCCAGGCACCTGCGGGCCTGTCACCGTGGAAGGTGTCCCCTCGGAATGCCGTGTCCCGGGCCCACTGCCCGCACCGCTCAGCTTCCTGGGATGACTGCGGGACGCTGGCTCACTGTCAGGCCTGGCTTTGGAGTCAGGATAATGCCAGCCCCATAACATGATTCGGGAAGTGTTCCCTCTTCACGTTTTTGGAAGAGTCTTCTGGAATTGGCATTATGTTTCCCTTAAATACTTGGTAGATTTCACCTTTGGGGCCATCGGGACCTGAGAGTTCTTTGTGGGAACGTTATAAACTGGGACTTCATCTCCTTTTTTTTTTTTTCAAATTTTTTTTTAAAGATTTATCTATCTATTTATTTATTTATACAAGCACTGGGTACAGTCAGAAGCGCGGGAGGGCGAGAGAATTTACCAGAGCCAGAGCAGGGAACAGAACAGGCAGACTGACGAAATCCACTGCTGAGGGGAGCAGCGGGCGGCAGGAGAGGTCTGCGCGCCATGTGGGACCCTCCTCCGGTGGCCGGGGAGCTGCTGGGGATCGAAACTGCGCCGCAGAGGCTGCGGGCAGCTTCACAACCCAGCGCTCAACCGCTGCGCCCCCAGGAGGCCCTTCATCTCCTTTTATAGACGCAGAACTATTCTGTTTCTTTTTTTTTTTTTTTTTTTTATAGAGGCATGTTTATTTATTTATTTATTTGCTTGTTTGTTTGTTTTTGTTTATACATGCACTGGGTACAGTCAGAAGCGCGGGAGGGTGAGAGAATTCAGCAGAGCCAGAGCGGGGAGCAGAGCAGGCAGAAGGACCGAAGTACACTGCTGAGGGGAGCAGCAGGCGGCAGGAGAGGTCTGCGCACCATGTGGGACCCTCCTCCGGTGGCCGGGGAGCAGCCGGGGATCGAACCGGCTCCGCGGAGGCTGCGGGCAGCTTCGCAACCCAGCGCTCAACCGCTGCGCCACCGGGGAGGCCACTATTCTGTTTCTTGAGGGAACTTTGGGAATTTGTCTTCAAGGAATTTGTCCATTTCATCTAAGTCAATTTAATTTGTTGGCATCAAGTTTTTCTGGAATTCCCTTTTTACCCTTGTGATATCTGCAGACTCCAGCTACCCATCTCTCCTTCCTGATAAGGGTCATCTCTCTGCCAAGTAGTCTGGCTGGAGACTTGCCAGTACAGGGTAGCTTTTGGTCATAATTTGCTGTTTTTAATTTCAAATTGCTTTTCCTGCTCTGATCTTCTCTTTCCCTTTTCTGCTTAGTTTAGGTTTCATTTGCTCTTCTCTTTCTAGTTTCCTAAGGCAAAAACTGAGTCATTGGCATGAGACTTTTTAAAAAAGATTTATTTATTTATGCGTACAAGAGCTGGGGAACAGTCCAGAGGTACGGGGAGGGGGAGGGTATGGTGGGGTGGGGTGGAAGGTAGAGGGTTCACCAGAGACAGAGCGGGGAGCAGAACAGGCAGACTGAGTGAAACACACTGCTGAGGGGAGCAGCGGGCGAGTCAGGAGAGGTCTGTTGCGCCATGTGGGTTGCCCCCTGGTCGGCCAGGGGATCAAACTCATGCTGCAGAGGCTGTGGACAGCTTCATAGTGCTGTGCTTAACCCCGTGTGCCACCAGGGAGGCTCCATGAGACGTTTTCTGATAGGTGTTTAGTGCCATACATTTCTTCCTAATTATCATATTAGTGACAACCTCAAAAATACAGATATGTTGTCTTTGTTTTTTATTGTTTTAGTTCAAAATACTAATTCCTTCTTTGCCCTATTGGTTGTGTAGAAATAAGTATGCCAGTGCTCAAATGTTTGGGACATTTTCCAGGTATCTTTCTGTTAATTTATAATTTAATTCCATGGAGTAAGGAAATATATTTTGTATAGCTTAAATCCTTTTAAGTTTGTTGCAACTTTCTCCATGGCTCAGAATACAGTCTGTCATAGATCAGCTTCTTTCATTTAATCAGGAAAGGCAGACTGAAATACACTGCTGAGGGGAGCAGTGGGGAGACAGGAGAGGTCTGCTGCACTGTGTGGGTTGCTCCCTGGCCATTTGGGCATCGAACTCTTGCTGCAGTGGCTGGTGATAGCTTGATCGTGCTGTTTCTTAGGAAAGATTGAGAAAGGATTATTGAAATCTAGAATTATGGGTTTGTCTAATTCTCTTTGTAGTTCTGTTAGCTTCTCATGTATTTTGAAACTTTGCTAATGTTAATAGAACTGCTATATCTTGGTGAATTGACTTTATCATTATGAAATGGCCACCTTTATCCTTGTTAATATTCTTTGCTCTGAAGTCTGTCAGAAGCTGAAGTGGACACGCCAGCTTTTCAATGGTGTTGATGTGATATATCTTTCTACTCTTGCTTTTAATCTGTTTATGTCTTTATGTTTAACGTAGATATTTTATAGGCAGCATAAAATTGGGTTTTGCTGTTCGAAAATCCAGTCTGGCTATTTCTTTTCATTGGTTTTTAAGTCATATAAATTTATTATGATTATCAACTTTGCTACTTATCACTGGCTTAAAGTGACATACCGTTTTGTGTAATACAAGAACCTGTAATAGCGGTCCCCTGTCTGCTCCGAGCCTGTGTGCTGCTGTCTGGGTACATGGTACTTGTGCACAGGTCGCCACCCTCACATACTTCCATTTGAACAGTTATCTTTTAAAGATAAATAAGAAGAAAAATGTGCTCCCTGCTCCTTTGTGGGGATCCACATTTGTTCTGGTATTATTTTCCCTCCTGCCTGCAGGTCTTTCCTTCCAGAGCAGGTTTGCTGCTGATGGATTCCTTTAGCTTTTGTGTGTCTGAAAAAAAAAAAAAAAAAAAAAAAACTTTGTTTATCTTCATTTGAAAAAGATATTTTTCATGAGTATCAAATTCTAGGTTGAAGTCTTTTTCTTCTCAGTACTTCAGAGTTTTTGCCGCGTTATCTCTTCACTTGCCTTGTTTCTTGCAAGAAACCTGGTGTCGTCCTTGGCCTTCTGTGGCTAATGTTTCTTATTTTATTATGGTGTCATTTTCTTCATGTTTGTTGTGGTTAGAGTTCATGGAGCTAGTAGGAGCTTGGGTTTTGTTTTCTTCAGTTTTAGGAAAAAATTTGGCCATCGTTTCTTCAGATATGTTTTCTGTCCCCTTCTCTCCTCCAGTTACATGTATATCTTAGATTTCTTAGATTTGTCAACCAGTTCACTGCTTATTTTTTAAAGTCATTTTCCTGTTTTATTTTTTATAATTGCTTTTGTTGTTTAAAATTCTTCAGTCTGGGGCTTCCCCTGGTGGCGCAGTGGTTGAGTGCTGGGTTGCGAAGCTGCCCGCAGCCTCGGCGGCGCCGGTTCGATCCCCGGCTGCTCCCCGGCCACCGGAGGAGGGTCCCACATGGCGTGCAGACCTCTCCTGCCGCCCGCTGCTCCCCTCAGCAGTGTCCTTCGGTCCTTCTGCCTGCTCTGCTCCCCGCTCTGGCTCTGGTGAATTCTCTCACCCTCCCGCGCTTCTGACTGTACCCAGTGCTTGTATAAACAAATAAATAAATCTTTAAAAAAAAAAAAAATTCTTCAGTCTTCTGAGATGTCTGATTTCCATCAATCCAATGCTGTGTATTTTTCATCTCAGATGCTGTGGTTTTCATTTTTAGATGTTCGATTTTTTATCTTCCATTATCTGCTTTTCAAACATGGAGTAAAGTCACTGTGACTATTTTAAAGGCCTTTTCTGCTAATTCTAACATTTGTGTCAATTCTGGGTTGGTTTCAATTTAATTTATTCCCTCATTTCTGGTCCCTTTGTGTGCTGCCTCTTTGGATGCTTGCTGATCTTTTTTTTTTTCTTCTAAAGATTTATTTTATTTTTGCATACAAGAGCTGGGGTGTAAGCCACGGGTGAGAGAGAGAGAGAGAGAGAGAGAGAGAGAGAGAGAGAGAGAGAGAGAAAGAAGTGTCACCAGAGACAGAGTGGGGAGCAGAACAGGTGAATCTACTGAAATACACTGCTGAGGGGAGACAGGAGAGGTCTGCTGCACCATGTTGGTCAGTTGCAGTGGCTGGCCATAGCTGCATAGTGCTGAGACTTTAACCCCTGCACCACCAGGGAGGCCCTGCTTGCTGATCTTTAATGCCAGGCATTGTGAACTTTACCTTCTTGGGTGGGTTCTGGATACCTTTGTGTTCTTTAAACGGTGTTCTGTTGTCAAGGCAGAACCCTCCTCAGCATTGCACCCAGTGCCCTGCATTACAAGGTCGTCCCGTCTGGTACTATCCCCACCACGGTGAGCTTCAGATTCTCTTCTTCCCCTCCTTCATAAAGGTGATCTTTCTGTGCCTCAGATGCTTTGTTCTTTGCATACGTGGTCCGAGTAAAGCTCTGCCGGGCGCTTGGGGACCGCCTCTGTGGTCTCCGGTTGTTCTCGTCTCCATGCAGCGAGCTTGGTGGCACTTTATCCTCTGAGCTCCAGCAGCCGCAGAGTCTCACCCCGGTTCCCGCAGCCATCACTTCTAGTCTGCTCGCCGACGCGCTGGCCTTTCTGAATATGTACCGACTTCTCTTGCACCAAGTGCCATCTTCAGAGTTGAATGATTCAATGTGTGTAAAATTTTATGCTACAGTTGTCATTATAGATAACTACAGAATTGTCTATAAATATCTATAAATATAAGAGACAGTCTTAAATTTTTGAAGAGTGTCTTGTTGACTTGATGCATTTACTAACAATTATTAAATTTCTTTAAAAGTCATTTTTGGTAGCTTTTTGATTGCTAAAATTCATTAAAAAGTTGAGCTGGGGGGCTTCCCTGATGGTGCAGGGGTTAAAGTCTCAGCACTCTCAAGATATCATCAGCCCCTGTGGCCTTGCCTGAGTTCAATCCCCGGCCAGGGAGGTGACCCACGTGGCTCAGCAGACCTCTCCTGTCTCCCCGCTGCTCCCCTCAGCAGTGTATTTCAGTAGATCCGCCTGTTCTGCTCCCCACTATGTCTCTGGTGGGTCCTCCCACCCCCACACCTCTGGCCTGCACCACAGTTCTTGTGTGCATAAATAAAAATAAATCTTAAAAAAAAAAGTCAAGCAGAGGAGATTTTTCCTATCACTATATTAGTTTTCATTTTCTTTTTTTTTTAAGTTTTTAAAAAAAATTAATTTATTTATACAAGCACCGGGTACAGTCAGAAGCGCGGGAGGGTGAGAGAATTCACCAGAGCAGGGAACAGAACAGGCAGACTGACGAAATACACTGCTGAGGGGAGCAGCGGGCGGCAGGAGAGGTCTGCGTGCCATGTGGAACCCTCGCTGGTGGCTGGGGATCGAACCAGTGCTGCAGAGGCTGCAGGCAGCCAGGCAGCTGGGCAGCCTCGCAGCCCAGTGCTCAACCGCTGCGCCAACAGGGGAGGCCCTAGTTTTCATTTTCTAGGGATATAAATTACTTAGAACTGTCAAAGAATGCTGTGATTTAATAAGGCCATTGTTAGATTAGTTTGACATATTGAAAGTTTGTTATAATTTAGGGGGGAAGTTACTCAATTAAGGGTGTCTACTACAAGTGATCTTTCATAAAGTCTCCCAGAATATAAGAAGTTACAGTAGAAATAGCAGTACAGTCTGGCATGGCTGTAGGAAAAACCATGTTCCATCTTAAATTTTATGAAATAAGTGAATAGGCCAGAGTTTTTAGCCATAAAAAGTAATTGAGCCTGTGTACAACTTTAAGGAACTTTTTTTTTTTAATTTTTAATTTTTTTAAGATTAATTTATTTATTTATGCAAGCACTGGGTACACAGTCAGAAGCGTGGGAGGGTGAGAGGATTCACCAGAGCCAGAGCGGGGAACAGAACAGGCAGACTGACAAAATACACTGCTGAGGGGAGCAGCAGGCAAGACAGGAGAGGTCTGCATGCCGTGTGGGACCCTCGCAGGTGGCCGGGGATCAAACTGGCACTGCAGAGGCTGCGGGCAGCTTCGCAGCCCAGCGCTCAACCGCTGCGCCACCAGGGGAGGCCTGGGACTTTTTTTTTAAACCAGCATTTCAGTGATTACTCTTCAGATGCTTATTTCTGTTAGATGTAAATATGAACTAGTGATTTGTTATCAGATTCTTTAGCATTATAGAGAAACAATGTGTTCCTAGTCCAGTCTCTTGAAATAGTCAAATAAACATGAGTATGGTTGATTGTAGCACATAAAGAATTTCCTCCTCTTTTAAATAAGTTTTTAAAAGTATGAAATACCATTTAGCTTAAAGTCTCAAAGCTTACATTTAAAAAAATTCGGTGTTTTAAGATACCAAGGTATTTTAATAAGAGGAACACGTCATTTGGATTATTTTTTGAAAGGATTAGTAATGTAGTCTGTGTCCTACATAACGCACACCTGTTTTTTCTCTCGTTTTTGTAGGTTCTGCCGGAGACTCACATTTGGCCTCAATGTGAAGTTAAAGTAGAGACTCCCACCTCCGTGTGTTGTGATCAGGGTGTCGACTCACTGGTCATGCCTGAGGAGGGGGGTTCTGTTCTAGATGGTGACTGCCAGCAAAAGTAAACGCTCATCCTAGATGTCAGGCATCCCTCCTTCCACTGGAGTGAAAATCCCCTCCAGATACCAACGAAACGTCAACTGCAGAAAATGCTCCGCAGTCTAAGGATGTCAGCAACCTAACTTCATGCGCCCCATCTGGCCCGTCGTCGTGGGTGGTTTACCATCGGAAAGCCCTGTCAGCTCTGACCCCGGCCCTGCTCCTGCGTCTGAGATGTCTCTGCTTCATGCACTGGGCCCCGTGCAGACCTGGCTGGGACAGGAGCTGGAGAAGTGCGGCGTCGACGCCGTGGTCTACACACGCTATGTCCTCAGTCTTCTGCTGCATGACAGCTGTGACTACGACCTACAGGAGCAGGTACTGGTATGTGTTAAGTATTGGTGTCTGCGTGTCTCCGTTTCTCTGCAGAGAACTTTCATGCGCCAGACAGGCTGTAGATTACAGCGGACCAGATTCCCTCCCAGTCCGTGTGAGTCTTTAGTTCGGGTATTCTCCCCTGGCTAGCTGTCCTCAGCGCCGGGGACGTCCTGGCACCGGCTCTAGAGCCTGACAGGGCCTGGACAGTGACGCCCTGCTTCGGGGTACTGGTTTCCGCGCTCCAGGAGGGTCATTTCCTAACATCCCGGTGTTTAACATTTCCTCTTATCCACGTAGTGGCCAGAGTGTGTGTCACCAAGCGGCAGCCTTAACATTCAGTCAAGCCTGTGACCTGGCTGTCTGTCGTTGCATAGCTCCTGCTAAGTTGGCCATTCATTTTCTGAGTTTAAAGTGAGATAGCAGCCAGGTGTTGGCTCTGGAGAAGAAGTCTCGCTTTAGTCTCCCTCTGCTGAATGTGAGCCTGCTGGAGGAGGGGGGTCATGACAGAGAGCGGAGGGCTCGGGGCGCCCTCTGTGACTGTACTCATGCAGAAGGGGGTTCGTCGGCAGCTTTTGTGGTGGTTTTAAACCATTGTTACTAATGCTGAAGGCAGGAGCAGAGTCTTGTTGACAGAAGAAACTAGCTTTGCTTTTCCAAACCTCAGAAAAAGCCTCCTAGGATTTCATGAGCATGCCTTAGTTGGATGGCTTGTTTCCCTGTGACCCCACACCCCGCCATTACCCTACTTCTGGGTTGCTTAGGATTTTAAGGGGGTTGACTTCTAAACAGATAATCAAAAATGTGCAGTTCTGGTGGTCAATATGTTATATAATTGCCTTACTAAGACTGTATTAGTCCGTCATCTTTCCAGTAAATGCAGCACACTACTTTTAAGGCAAGTTACATGTGAGAGACTGTAGGCGGTCCCGGGTCACACAGCTGGTGCACGGGGTAGCAGCATTGGTTTAAAACATAAATGTCCAGGGCCTCCCCCCGTGGCGCAGCGGTTGAGCGCTGGGCTGCGAAGCTGCCCGCAGCCTCTGCAGTGCCGGTTCAATCCCCGGCCGCTGGCGAGGGTCCCACATGGCGCCTGTTGCTCCTCTCAGCAGTGTATTTCATCGCTCTGCCTGTTCTGCTCCCCGCTCTGGCTCTGGTGAATTCTCTCACCCTCCAGCGCTTCTGACTGTACCCAGTGCTTGTATAAATAAATAAATAAATCTATCTTTAAAAAAAGAAAACATGAATGTCCAGGTGGTATGGCTGCCTCAGTGGCAGCTTGATCTGGGTCCTTTAATAGAATCATTAACGGCCCAGGGTCAGAAGTTTCAAGCAGCTTCCCCCCCCCCCAAATTTGTATTGAAGTAACATTACTTTATAATATTGCGTTCCAGGTATTCGGCATTGTTGTTCCACGTCTTTGTGAACTACATCCTGATCATCAAGTGTCTGGTTTTCTTCCATCACCATGCAGTTGACCCCATGGGCTAGCTTCCCCCCTCCCCCCCAACCTTCCTATCTGGTGACAACCAGTCTGTTCTCTGTGTCTGAGTTTGGTTTTTTTGTTTTGTTTGTTCATTTTACTTAGTTTCTTTATCTTTCACATACAAGGGAAATAATATGGTATTTGTCTTTCTATGTCTGACTTTTTAACTTAGGATAATTCCTTCAGGGTCCATCTGTTACCACAAATGACCAAAGTTTGCCTTTTCATTGCTGTATAGTATTCCATCGTATGTGTGTCACACCTCTTCGTTCGTGGGCCCTTACCTTGTCTCCATGGCGTGGTTATTGTGAATCGTGCTGCAGTGAACGTAGGTGTACAGCTATCTTTTCAAATCAGTGTTTTTTTTTATCTTTCATATAAGTACCCAGAAGTGGAAAACTGAGTCATATGGTATTTGTAAATTTTCTGAGGATTCCATATACTGTTTCCATAGTAGCTGTGTGAGTTTACATTCCAGTGCCCCATCTTGAAGCCTGTCTTCTCTGTTGCTTTATTCAAGCTTCACTCTCCCCTTTCCTGCTGTAAGCTGACTTTCTGATTTTTGCTAGCTCAGGAAGAAGAGCAGGTATCTCCTCCCAGTAGGAGAGCTTGGTCATGGCCATGTCCCTGACCTTATACTAAGATGAGGGTCTTTGGTGGCTGGGCTACCTGGAACCGCCAGGACTGTGGTGAGCATGGCTCCCCAAAGACCATCTGGAGTCATTAGGGTGCTGGGCCATTGAAAGGAAGGTCTCGAATGCCTGTGTACAGAACTGCACTTCCTTTTTTTAGGAAGTTTCAACCTCTTAAAGTTTAGGGAGTATTATTTGATTGTGCTGCTTTCTAAGAGTTGAGCTTTAAAGAAATAGAACAAAAAATTAACAATGATGTAAAATATATATATAAAAATAAAAAATAAATAGAACATTCACTGGTGTTCTCACTCATGGTTTTGCTTGCTTTGCTTTTTCTGCAAGTTTTGTCTTTGTTAACCTTCTCCAGCTCTGTCCTTTCATAATAGTCTCTCAACCTGGGTGCTGTAGGTTGTTTAGGGGGCAGGACGCCCAGAACAGCGGTACGATGCACCCATGCATCCTGCATAAAAATGAAAGGAGAGGGGCCTCCCCGCAATGGTTGAGCGCTGGGCTGCACAGCTGCCCGCAGCCTCTGCAGCGCTGGTTCGATCCCCGGCTGCTCCCCGGCCACCGGAGGAGGGTCCCACATGGCGCGCAGACCTCTCCTGCCGCCCGCTGCTCCCCTCAGCAGTGTACTTCGGTCCTTCTGCCTGCTCTGCTCCCCGCTCTGGCTCTGGTGAATTCTCTCGCACTCCGCGCTTCTGACTGTACCCAGTGCTTGTACAAATAAGCAAATAAATCTTTTAAAAAAAAAAAAAATGAAAGGAGGATTTTTCCTTAAACATTTTGTTGTCGTATAACGTATATACAGAAAAGGGTACAAATTGGTGAATTCTTACCAACATCGTTCATATATCACTAAACCCAGATAGAAACATAGAACTTGACCATCCACACAGAAGCCCACTGGGGCCCGCACTGCCGTGGAGTTCCAGCCTGTCTGGGGCGAGGGAGGGGCTGAGAGCGGCCTCTGCCCCCGCCCCCGGGGGTCCTGGCACTGGCATCCCTTATTCCTCTCTGCAGCCCTGAGAGCCTGCCCCCAGCTCACTTGCTGTCTGCGCCACATCAGGGCCACTTTCCTGGAGCCGTTTGCCCTGGACCTTGAACGGGGGCATTTCCTGAGGGGGTGCAGCCTCCGGTGTCAGCGCCTCTGCAGCTGCCTCCTGTCTCCTCAAGGTCTCGGTGCCCCAGCAGGGCCTACGGCCTTAGCACAGGCATGGTGCAGCTCGTTTGGCCTGGTTTTCACCTGGCATTTTTGGGTAGTCCTGGCAGGGCAGCTGGTCTGCCCACCGTTGTTCCCCCCCTTTTTTTTTTTTTAATATTTCATTTTTAAAAGCAAATTTTAGATTCACAGCAAGGTACAGAGATTTCCCATTTATGCCCTCCCCTGACGTGTGTCTCGCCTCTCCCTTTATCAGCAGTCCCTGCCAGCTGGTTACATTAGATAAACATACTTTTTGATGCGTCACATCCCCCCGCGTCCATAGCTGGCTTCCGGGTTCACGCCTCATGATGTCCGTTCTGTGGTGTGGACAGATGGGTGGCATCTGTCGTTAGGGTAGCATGCTGAGTCGCTTCACGGCTCTGAAAGTCCCGTGTTCCACCTGTGCATTCCTTCCTCCCCTGGCTCCCGGAACTACAGATTGTTTTTTAACAGCCTTCATAGTTTGCCTTTCTGGAATGTCATAGAATTGAAGTCAGAGTCAAAGCCTTTCCAGGTTGGCGTCTTTCCCTTGGTAATGTGCGTTTAAGGTGCTTCGCGTCTTTTCATGCCTTGGGCGTCATTTCTTTTGACTGCTGAGTAATGCCTATTGGCCCTCGGGCCAGCCTATGGCTCTGGTCATGTAGTAAAAGACATGTCCAGGTGTCGGTGGCCGTGCAAGCTGCTCTGCAGCTCTCTGTGCCGGCCTTGGTGTGGGCCTGAGCTCCCCGCTCTGTTGAGTAAACCCCAGGGCTGCCGCTGCTGGAGTGTATGGTGAAAGTCTGTCTGGTTTCGAAGTAACCACCCTGCTGTCTCCGCAGGGCACCACTTTGCACCCCGACTTTGTGTGTCAGGCCTGTTTCTGGGCTCTGATGCATGTTCCTTGTGTCTGTACCACCGCCCTCACTGCTCTGACTGCGCAGCTTTGTTGTCATTTTAATTCCCTAGCTGAGTGCTGTCTGCTAGCTCGGTCCGCTGCTCTAGGGCTGCAGCTGCGCTCTGCACATCTGTCTTGCCCAAAGGTTGAATGAGAATCCTGGTCCTGAGTGCTGGGTACGACTGGACTCAACAGAGCTTGTTGACTCCTTCAGCCCACTTGGCACCCGGGTGCCGCGTGTGTGGGGCCGCCATCGCCGGCCTCCAGGAGTGCCGCTGCGGACACCTCACCCGTCCTAGTTTCTCGAGCGCTTCGCTGCATTTGCTGTGTCGCACCCACTTATCCCCAGTTCAGTGCAGTTTATACAAAAGGAGCACAAGATGAAGTGAGTGTGGAGCTGGAAGTCATGACGGCACGCGAGTAAACGTTCCTCGAATCATCCGCATTGAGCTTGGGAGGTATTTTCCACGGGGTACAGAAAAGCTTTTGAATATGCGTGTTGAATAGTGTAAACACACGTTATTGCTTTTTAGTTACCTCATGAATGTTGTGCCTGGCAGAGAGGCGACGGGGCGGTCCCGGGGAGATGCCGCCCCTCGGGGGCCCGTGAGCGCGTGGGTCCTGGACTGTGACCGAGGTCACGGAATGGGAAGGGCTGGAAGAGAGGAGGTGCAGGCTGGGGTGGGGGGCAGGAACAGACCTGGGAGAGCCGGCGCCCTCCCAGGGGCTCACCTCCGAGACCCAGAGCCGCCCCATTGCCCACGCCCGCACCCCAGTGGGCACTCAGGTGGTGGTGGGTGCTGGCTGGGC